TACAGCGATGTGCAATATGATCTGAACAAGTTCAGTTTCACTTCGTCAGAACAGAATCCAAACTTCCGGACAAGGATATTTGCCTGAGCGTATATCGTACAGACCTGACGGTAAATGTCAACAAATGACCAAGATATTTGACTTAATTTGAGACGTTCAATAAGATACCAGATAGTTTAAAATTGGGAAATATTATGTTTTTGTCCTCTTTAGTGCGACAGATCATAATGATACTTTTTGAAGGATTGAATTTGACGTCATGAAGCTCACCATATGCTGAACAGACATTAAGCAGCTTCTGAAGACCAGCTGAACTTGGACTAAAGATTATAATTACATCTCCAACCATGCAGCCATGGCTACACAAGTTTAGCTGCCTATAGAGGTCATTCATACACTGCAAAAAATGGAAATCTAAATAAGTAATTTTTGCTCAAATTAAGTGCATTTTTTCTTGAATTGAGGATGTAAGTGAGACATTTTGCTAACGGAACAAGACAATTTTCATCTAAAATAAGAAAAGAACAATTGCTTTATCTTATTTCAAGTGTATATTTTCCAATTATCTTATTTTAGGAGTAAAAATACTCATTCCATTGGCAGATCCTCTCATTTATCTGCTCAAATAAAGGGTAAATACACTTAATTTAAGACATTTTTTACTTATTTCTAGATGTTTTTTGCAGTGTATATAGGCTGATAGTGAGTAAAACAGTTAAATAACACACTTGTTCCATCACTTTCAAGAATAAAAGTAACATGAATTTAAATAACTGGAGAGTTCCTTCTGATTACGGATTGCTCGGGATCCGGCCGCTGCTTCCACTGAATGGAGGGCCTGCTCCAACACAGCAATCATGAAATCATTACATTCCCCAATTAAGTCATCACTCAGGAGGGACATTCCCCTCGTGTGAGAGTACTAATTAAGTGATTAGGAATGATTGTATCATCTGAGCCAGACCAAACACTGACATGGAAGCACCTGTCACCTTCAGATACGTTCAGCCACAGGGTGGTCTTAAAGCAGATTTTCAGATAATAGGGGAAAGATTAGACAGAAATATCATTATTTCAAAGCTTTATTTATTCTCTATGCATACCAAAAAGGTGTGCTTTCATTCTCACCTTCTGATGTTCTGAGTCATTTTCACAGTGCAGACAGGTTGGGGCACTGCACATAGCCCAGAGTGAGGACACTCGGGACCAATGCACGCTAAGTGGTGCACTGGCAGGGAGTGGAGGGGAGGAAAGGGTTTGTGCATGACTGTGCTTACACACTGGGCTGCAATGAATGATCAGCGCGCTTGAATGAAAGAGATAAATGAAATGCTCTAGAAATTCCCAGCTTTACTTTGCAACTTATTCTTCTGTAGAAAAGTCAAGAGAGTAACACTCCTCATACTATGAAACAGAGAAAAAAAAACAGCTTACAAAATTTTTTCTCCTGAGGCAAAGGGTCAGCAGTCGAGACAGGGAGGATAGGTAATTAAAATTCCGCCTTTAAATAATAAAACATGATTAAAGCAAAGGTGTGTCCCTCTTCCTCTTCCCAGAAGAAGCCTGAGTGTTTCGATTTCCCTAGTAACATCACAGATTTCTAAAGGTGGCAAAGGTTTTTGGACATTTATTATTACAGTTAAACTAATGTTTGCTCAGAGTTCGACAACAGCCGGCAGAGTGAAAAAACGTCTTCAAGGAGAAAACATGAATCATATGAAATGTGAGATCATGTTGTCCAGTGGTCATGTGCACTGGTGCTTGAATAAGACATTTAAAAACTTCCACTGTACCTACACTAATGGAGTAGTCACATAAAAAAAATGACTCAGCAAACACACACAGGCAAGATAAATAGAGGAACATTCCAGCGAACTCTTGAATTTCATCATTGTACCACATACAGTACATCTGGATACTATTACACTAAAAACATTACTAATCTCAGGAGAAATATGCAGGAGTAAAAACCGCTCTCAGTTTGTCAGCGTCTCTTCTTGCCGTTTCTGAAGCTTAAATATCTACACTACACTAATTCTCAGAGTAAAATATCTTCTGTGCTCAAATGTTGGAGGTTTTTAGTTGCAGAAAATGTTTCATGAGATGCTAAAAGGCAAATTAGGGTCGGTAAGGGAAAGAGCTGAAGAAGTAAAGTATGATTTATTCATCAATATCATTATGATAACTGTTGTTACAGATAATATTATTATATTATGAGCAAACAGACTGACTGACTAACGAGTACCGCTAGAAAAATAAGTAAAAGTTACAGTGGAAGTTCTACTAAATTGCTGATATTTGGGAAAAAATGCAATGGTTAGTATTGGGCTAAAATTTATTTGGGTAAAAATTTAGAATATAAAGAAGTTTTACTCCAAACAAGCACAGACCCACTCAGTTTATGTTGAAGTGAGACATCTTGGAAGCCTAAAGCCTTGTTTAATTTTAACACTA